TACGTTATTTCTCGAGAACGAAGAGCGCCCCAGCCAAAAAAAATTCAGAGCAATGTTTCTCAGGTACAACAAAGCCTACATGCCAAAATTCAGCTATTTTTGAACACTTTCAAAATGGCCAAAAAATCTAGGGGACGTTCTTTTATAAGTTGTTAATTATTAACAACTTTAAGAGTTACTGCTCCAAAATACTCATGCTATCGGTTGATTTGAAGATGATTCAAATAAGAAACTTCATGAGTGCCTTAACAAAGATTTGCAACAAAAACACTCCTTGACTGTTAAAAAGAAGATCTAGAATGGAATTGATTTGTTTGACTCAAACATGGAGTTACTCATTAAGGTTGGTTTGAAATGGGCAATAGGAATAATGACCTTTTTAAATTGGTCATTCCACAGTATTCCGCTGTTGCGGAGACTACATTCAGAGATTTATTATATATCTAAAAACGTAGACTACAAAGCAGACGCAGACTGCTGTTGTGTGGTAGATGTCCAGTAGAGCTATTCACAACAGTAGTGTAATTCACTCAGTATCAGATGAGTGGGATGTAACAGTAAGTTGCAGAGACCACTCAGAAATTCCATTATTTTTGTTCTACCAAACTTAAGTGAGAAGTTCTTTCAATCTTGGATAGATCAAAAATATCTGTCTGTTTTTACTTGCAAGGACATATCATCTACTCACTATAACTGACAATACATTTAACTAATGTTGCATATTTTTCCATTTTAATTAACAATAATTCTAAGTGATGGTGCTGTTGTGGAGACTATGTTGCGGAGACTACATCAGGATACTGTGAATAAAAATGCTACAAAAAGTAAATAAAGGACAAATTTTGGCAAGTGATCAATGTAATGGAGTGTCAAACACTAGAATAGCTAAATTTTCTTACATGATTGAATTCTTCAAACTCAGAAATTCACTAGTGCCAGTTCCCTTAACATTGACCAAATATAACCAAGCAGGGAATGGTAAAGAATGCAAAGAGGTTGAGGCCCCAAACAGTGGATTCTGAAGTGGATGCTTTGTTCTCATGATGAAAAATACTAATTTTAGAAATTTGCTGCACATATCCTATCACTGTGACTGAAATTTACTGGGAATTTTGTATTTCTTTTCTTTTTGTGTGATCTCCGCAACAGAAAACAAACTTTATTATAAGCTTATACAGGAAAATTCAGGGCAAACTGTTGCAGTACGATTTACTCTTTAGGGTAAATTAAATGTAGAACTTATCAAACTTGCATCAAGGAAGCTTCATTTCATCATTCACAAAGAAAATTTAACCTTGAAAAATGTTGTGGAAACTACATTTTGCCAATGGAAAGCAAATGTTGCATTGTTCTTATAATGAGGTCAGTTTGAATCAGCTGTTAATAGGAAAAAGGACCAGTAGTAGAGTCTATCTTGTGGTCTTGTTGAAAGTTCAGCTTTTACTTCTTCTTTTTTTAACAGACAGTTTATTTGTAGTCTCCACAAACTTTTTGAAAAGTTAAGGCTTTAATATCTTTTTGTGTCAAATTCATTCTTACTAATTGTTTTCTAATTCTACATTTGTTGTAGACAACAAAAACTGCTCACTGACCATCTTAGGAAAAGATCTTAATTCTTTTAAGGTAACAGCTACATGTATGTACTATAATTCTTAGGAAACAAGTATCTCTCAACAGTGTGCTGAGTTCTACAATGTCATCATTTCAAACCTGCCAACCCTTCAGTTTCTATAAACTGGAGAGATCCATTTGAAGTTCAGACAGTGGAGAGATTTTGCAATGTTTTTAGTGAGAAACCAGGGCATTTTGTGTAAGGTTTGGAGTAATTGTGGATTTCACCACTTTGAATTAAAAGGGATGGGATACTTGGTGAGAGCTTTTATGGGGGTCTTAAAAAGATGTTAAGTCATGTTGTCTGCACTAACAGTTTTACAAGCAACAGCAAGGTGAAACTTAGATTTCATCTTGAGGTATACTTTATGTGTACTGGTGCTTTTGCATTTTTGTCAGAAAACTTTTGAGATTTCAATACTGGGACTGGAAAAGAAAGTACTTTGTTTATAGGTACACGTCTATTTTTTAATTTTCCCTCGAGAGTTGAATTAATAATGTATTGTTTTAGAATTGTTAGGAACGTAAATGTTAGTGGGCTGTTATGTCTTTTGGACTATATAAAGTCTGTTAAAGTTCTACAAATACTGACGTCTTCCACTCATACTCACTCTTCATCATACAACTGAAATAATCTCAATTGATCCATTTTTGTTGTTGTCGAATTGCTTGCAGATTTATACCGATTCACATCCTGGTATGATTGTCTTGGGAGTGACTCCAGGCTATGCTCTGAAACTGAGACAAAGGATTTCCAACAAGGGAAGTTTCATTAACCCTGGAAGTGCTGGTGAGTTGTGTGCCTTTTAGTATTTAGGCAATCCCTGGATATGAGCAAGTGCAAACTTCATAATAATTTATTAGGTCCTTTCAAATAGCTCCTAGGTGTATCCTATGAGTGGAAAGGAAGCATAAGACACGTGACAAAAATATATGCTTCTCCTCTCAGCTAATAAGCAAGCAGGTTCCAGTGTCTAGATTTCCTATTCAAGCCCTGCTTTCTACATGTAGCTTTTCACTTTGATGTGCAAGTGAGAACAACATGGAGGGGTGGGCTTAGGTCTCTCACAGCTTTGCTGCTCGCACCTCAGCCCAAATACGAGAGCCTGCTGCAGGGTACTTCACAGTTGCAGTGAATGACACTATTACCAATATTGCTCCTAATCCAGATGTTGTATTTATATAAAAAAACAGCTGGTACCATGCCCCTCTCAGCCTCTTTGTTGTGAGTACAGTGTATGTTTTGTGGCTCACTTTCCACTTTTTTGTGTTTGCTTGACAGTGGCAGCAGAAAGGGACATTGTTCTGGAAGTCAGTGAACACATTAAGCCGGAAGTAAAGGCTGATTTGTTGGAATGGGTGTGTGCATAATGTACATAATGTATGAATCTGAAAATGTCTAAAAATATTGCTGTGCGCTCAAAATGTTGTTGTTAGTTTTAAAAATCATTACTGAGAAAAACCAACTACATTGCACAGTTATTCATGAAGTCACAACTTAGATGCAGCAATAAATAAGCAGTACTACAGTATACTCAGCCTTAACACCATTCCACACTATTCTTGAACTGTTTAAATGTTCAGATGACATGATGAACGTTTAGCATACATAAATGATGCAGTTACTGCTCATTGAAACCACTTTACTGAGTCACTTTTGTTTTTTATTTCTAATATTATTGCATGTGTTTACATGTCTTTTTCCACAGGTCACAGACAAGTTATCCAAAGATTTTGCTGAGTTAAGGTGGGTTTTACTATTCAGAGTAAAATATGAACAGAAAGAACCTGATATTAACAAACAATGTAGTCCATTTGTCCGTTAATGCACTTCTTTTTTGTATGTTGCAGCATAAAAGAAGTGGAAAGAATTATGTCATATAAAACCCCTAGCCCATCTGTCAGCAAGCAGAATCAATGTAAGAATGTAGGATTACTAGTCTCAGTACTTCATTTACTCTCAAGTTTATTGTGTAGCGTGTGGTAGTGTGTGTGGAGGCATGGTGCCCTCATGGTTAGTGTGCTTGCCTCCGGATGGAGCAGTCCATGTTCAAACCATGGCTGGGAAAATTGTGTTGTGTTCTTAGGCAGGGCACTTCATTCTCACAGTGCCTCTCTCCACCCAGGTGTAAATAAATGGGTACTGGTGAATTAAATGCTGGGGGTAACCCTGTGAAGGACTAATATCCCATTCAGGGGGGAGTAGAAATACTCCTAGTCGCCTCATGCTATAGAAACCAGAGATAAGCGCCGGCCTGATGGCCTAGTTGGCTGGTATGCAGACTTTACCTTTTACCTTAAAATTGTATATGCAGCATACTTTAGTCTTATAGTATATGACTTTTTGTTGATACTGCCTTCACATTTTCTTCTAGCATCTGAAGAGGTGTCTTCTCCACCCATGACAACTCGTTCCAGAACTTACAGTACAAGAACAAACAGCAGCAAGCAGTCTGTCATAGTGTCAAAAAAGTACAGTATAGCTTATGTCGTTTGTAGCTTTTGTACACGTTTGGAGTTCAGGCGATACTTACAGATCTCAATTCTTTTGTCTTTCTAGACTTATTGTTTATCCTCCTCCTCCTCAAACTGGTGGAATCACAGTTACTACCGAGGATATCGCTTGTCTTGATTCTGGCGAATTCCTTAATGATGTCATCATTGATTTCTACCTAAAGTGAGTTTAACAACAAAACGTTTCCACTAGTTATCAGACATCCACTGTCAGCTAGCATTATTGTCAGAGCATAATGGCAAGACCAACACTTGTCATAGTATATTTAGGTTCTTAACCAGTCAGGGCTCCAAGAGAAAACCTTTGTATTTGTAAATTTTACCCTCTAACTGAGTGAAGAGCACTGCACCAATTTTCTAAACCCGTTCCAAAGCTAACTGTCAAACGTATTTTAGAAAACACCCTGTATAAAGAAGCGCACGCTAACGTGCGTACTTCAATTTTACAATTAGACTATGGGCTCGAGATTTCCACAGTGTAAATGAAAAAATAATGAAACATTTTCTTTATTTCTATCTAGTTATAGAAACATTCGTTGGAGGTTTGGGTGAACTCCCAAACTTCCAGTAGTGTTTCTCCACGTATAACTCGATTGAAACATAGAAAATGTTAACTATTTCTAAAATAAAATAAGTAAAACTTTATTTCCCACAGTCTGTGCCATTCAGAGGTCGTTGAAAAACTTGCCTCCGATAAAATCTCATTTGCAGGTTTGTTTTCTTTGAGAAGCTTAAGCCTGAGGACCGAGCACGCACGCATATTTTAAGCTCATTCTTCTACAAGCGGCTCACACAGAGAAATAACAGCAATAACGACACTTTCACCAGGTTAGTGCCGTCAGATATGCTTCATGGAGTTGTTTCTAATTCTCACAATATTGTTAGACCCCTCTTTATGAAGAACCGACAGTGGTTTGGGTCTGTGAGTTGTCCATGTACTGGTGAAAAACACTTTACAACCCATTCATACACACCAATATAATATTATAGAAAAGTTCAAAACTTCATGTATGTACACTGTAAGACTGGGTTAGGCTATGTAGTGTCGAATACCCTTACACAAAACTATAAAGTATGAAAATAATGAAATTTTCTATGGGTCTTATCTCATCTCGAGGTAGCACTAAACCTCCACCTCTCAATTTTGGAAGAAAATATTTCAGCTTTCTTTAAACTTTTAGGTCTATTTTTCCTCGCGATAAATGGAAGAGCAGTTTAAACAAACATGTTTTTAGCAGCTTGAACAAATGTGTCCCAAAAAAAGGCCGAAATTCATTTAGAGGGGTTTTCAATGCCTCTACTGCCTCTACTCTTCGCTACACTACGCTACTGCACTGTACTCTGCTGTACTATACTATACTGATGGAACCGATTTAAGATAAGGAAAAAGACTCCTTTGAATATTACGCAATAGAGAGCGTACAGGAGCTCAAAAACCCTACGAGAAATTTCCAGCCAATTTTGTGCAAGTTGTATATATAAACTACAGTAAACTTGTTGAACTTCATCTCTTTCTGCCCCCGCACCATTCCGTCATGCACGTGTTTGACTGGACTCCTTTCTTTCCCCAGCACTCCGGACCGAATGCACTCTCAGGTGCGAACATGGACGAAGAATGTAGACATATTTGAGAAAGATTTTGTAATTGTACCAATTAACGAAAGGTATGTTATACAGAGCTGGAGTGAGTACTATACTGAAAGGGTATGGTGAGTGAGTATGATAACAAACTTGGCTTGAGCAAGCAGACCGACCTTGGTTACAGCATACATTTGTGCATCTTTGATATTAGATTCCATGTTGTGATCAAATAACACCTGTCAAAACAAAGTCTCCGCTGATCAGCATCATGTGGCCATATCGCGCGCTCAAGTTTATAGCTCGTCGAAGTCACGTGTTTTTTAGAGTTCACCGCTGCCCAGGTACTGGTTTTTGATTGGATCGCAGGCTCAAGCCAGGTGAACTTATTGTAATCAGGACCTCCGCTTTTAGGCTCGGCTAAATTTATATATTACGTTGACTGGTGTTGAGCGAGATCTGCTAGATACTCTATGACTGATGTGCTTATCTAGCGAAACATGACAGTTTGTTTTGTTTTACCCCGTCAGCTCTCACTGGTATCTGGCTGTCATCTGTTTCGCTGGGCAGGAGAATCCAGCTTATGTTAACGAAATCAATGATGATGAGGAAACCGACACCAAGGTACACTTTGCCTCTGATAACCTGAAGACTTTAAAATTGTATACAGTGCAACCCTCACTGACGGCCACCTCGTTAATACGGCCACCTCGTTATTACGACATCTTTATTATCCAACTGCAGCGAACACCGTCCAAATAACAGTACAAATATACAGCGATATTGTACAGTTATTTGTACAGTGACAAACCTGTTTGCCGTACAGGTCGGCGCGCGCACGCAAAACTGTCGCACTCTCCTTTTTTTCATTGATAAATTTATTGACTACAGCAGTTGGATAATAAATCTCTTATCAGATGTTTTAGTGTGTAGTATCGCTTTATATTTTTACTCGTTTGTATTTTGACTCGCCCTACGAGCTCGTCGAAATACGGCACAACTCGTAAAAATTGCTGGTTTTCAGTGTCACGCAATTCAAAATAGATCAAAATAAAAATCAAAACCGGTCAATAGATAAAGTCCAGAATCTGGGAAATAAAAGAA